CTGAACACTGGATGGAGACTGGACACTCCGTACAGTATGAAAAAGCCACCAGATTGGCTCCCTCACAGAGTTATTTTGCCAGAAAACATCGTGAAGGTCTAGAAATTTTGAAACATCCCAATAACCTCAACCGAGACAAAGGTATGCAAGTAAACTCTATTTGGCATACTGCTCTCCCGGTTTTTTAATTGACCAGCTGATCAATTAAAATACGCTGATTGGCTGGATTCAAGCCTCGTCCCCTACTCCCTAAACACCATCTACACAAAGGGGGGGCATATAAGGACTACCTTTACCCAAGGGAGCTCAGTATCAGAGTTCTCAGCCCTGATGATGCAAACTGCAACGTTTGCGAAACGTCGGCATATCGCTGATTCAAGACACGGCTCCATTCCGGAAGCTATATCTAGACATTGATAATTACTTATTATTCAGTATTTTTAATACTGAAAGTAAGTAATTATCAATGATTCTTAGTATGATATTTCTATAAGATTAGATTCTATAAGATTAGATGATATAAGTAGAAAACGAAAAAGTACGGGGAAATGACTGATACGTGCCCACTCCCGGGTTAGAGACGTCTATAATACGTTTTTGAAAGGTCATTTTTAGTCAGCTGTTCGATAAGCAAAGAATGTGACAGATGTTTATCTAATGTTCACTTATATCAACTGTAATTTATGTAACCAATAGATTCCAGGTAGCACACACACGTTTTAAAAATGTTTTATAAACGTTAGAACCAAACCTTTCATAACCGTTTCCAAAACGTTTTATAACGTTTTTGAAACGTTTTTCATGAATAAAAATGTCCACTCAAAAAACGTTAGGTGAAACGTTATTTTTGCGAAAAAAAATCGTTGAAGAAACGTTTTATAAACGTTTTAAAACGTCTTATAAACGTTTTAAAACGTCTTATAAACGTTTTATAAACGTTTTAAAACGTCTTATAAACGTTTTATAAACGTTTTAAAACATCTTATAAATGTTTTATAAACGATTCATAAATAAGATTTCAGAGAAGTTCTTGTCAAAACATTTCTTATTGGTGCTTTACGGTTCTAAAACTATAGATACTTTTAAGGCTGTGTTCGGAGAGCACGCTATTAACGCTACTGCGTTCTTTTATCTTTATCGCTCCTTAGATATACAACAAGAATAGAATGACACGGTAGCGCCGAATAGCGCTAATAGCGAACTTCCCGAACGCACCTTAAGAAACGTTTCTCATATGTGTATGTGCTACCTGAGTTATTATTTATACACGTTGTTATTTATTTGTATTGTTATTTTTTATGTGCTTGCATCTCAAGCATTTGACTTCTAGGAATAAGCCTTATAGAACTTGTCCTACCATTTCTTACTCACGAACATTACCCAGATAGCCAAACCTGCGCGAGCAGATTTTGTGCAGAGTCTGTCAACAGTGTCTGTAGACAAAATGGCAACAGATTGCACACAGAATCTGTTCTGACGACAGATTGGTAACAGAATGTGCGCAGAGCCTGTCGATAGACTCTGACGGCAGATTGCGCGCAGATTCTGTTTCCTAGATAAGCTATTTAATTCTATCAAGGGCCATATGTACAATTAAATGGCTATTAAATGGGGCAGTTTCACATACACATCATGTAAAACTCTCAGAGGAGTCAAGATAATTATATTATGCAACAATTGTACACATATACACAACAAAAAATAATTTTTACTTTTTAAAATTGTATTACACATTTCTTATAAAAAAGCAACAATAATAGAGAAATAACGAGTACAAGTATAGAATAGTACAACGGTTAAATGGCTATTTAAAGGCGTACATATGCACCTGGCAAAAATTGTAATAAAAATTGTATAAAAAGTATAAAAGAAATAACTTAAATAATGTTAAAAAATAATAACATTAAGAAACGTTTGTAGAATTACATACAATTTAACACAAACTGTGCAAACAAATCTATCTTGTTTTGTCATCAATATACCTTAATGGCATAATTTATTGTGGACTTGCACCTGCACGAGTCATGTAAAAACAATACTTGCAAATAGCCCAGATAGCCAAACCTGTGCGAGGATAGAAGGAGGAGGGCATACTAAGTGGCGGCGAGACGCCGTGCGTTCGAGATCTGCGTATCTTTTTCGTTCCAGAAAGAGAAAAATATCGAGAGCGCGGTCTTGCTAGGCCCGAAACTCGAACCCGGGTCTTTCGCTTGCCGGGCGACTGCTCTAAACCACTGAGCTACCTGACGCTCCACGCTCACGACACTCTCCTCTTCCTAGATAACGCTCAGAGATGCCGTTCGGAAGCGACATCTCTGGCGCGATCCCGAGCGCACGGCGACTACAGAGAGAAACAATGTTACTGTACCAAATGGTACAGCTGTCAGTCTCTCAAAGTCAAAGGTTGTTATCCTTTAAGACTTGCTGTCCATGTATGCCCGTCTCCACCGTTGCCTCTCCTCATCCGGTGCAAATAATACAAATAAGCCCCGGGGTCAATTTTTTGGCAGCCCCCGGGTGGGGGCTATGGGGGATCCACCATAGAAGGAGGAGAGCATACTAGGTGGCGGCGAGACGCCGTGCGTTCGAGATCTGCGTATCTTTTTCGTTCCAGAAAGAGAAAAATATGCGAGCAGATTTTACGCAGAGTCTGTCAACAGTGTCTGTTGACAGAATGGCAACAGACTGCACACAGAAACTGTTTTAGCAGTCTCTAACGACAGATTGGTGACAGACTGCGCGCAGAGCCTGTCGACAGACTCTGACGACAGACTGACAGCAGATTGCGCGCAGATTCTGTTTCCTAGATAGGCTATTTAATTCTATCAAGGGCTATATGTACGTTATTAAATGGGGCAGTTTCACATACACACCATTTAAAACTGCTGCAGAAGAGTTAAAATAATTATATTGTGCAATAATTGTACACATATACAATAAAAAACAATGTTTACATTTTAAAATTGTATTACACATTTTTTATAAAAAAGCAACAATAATAGAGAAATAACGAGTACAAGTATAGAATAGTACAACGATTAAATGGCCATTTAAAGACGTATCATCCCTGATAAAAATTGTTTTCATAATTTTTCATACAATTTCTCATCTTATTATTTTTTTTAATGTTGTTATGTCATTAAATCTGCACGATTTAACCGTCATGCAATAAGTACTGAAGGCAGCAGCACCGAATAAAATATTAGTCTCGTGTAAATAACTTTTACAGAATTTTTTTGATGGTTTATTTAAAAATATATCATGCTTCGATTTTGATAAAACTTAATACACAATCTGAACGGGACGATCGACCAAATTAATTCGCACATGTAAAAGTACAGTATTTTATTAACATGATGGAAAAATGTAATTATTTACTGTTTTATTGCAGTAATTTTCTATACAGTCCTTGGTAAAAAATTAATTTCGAATTATCGTGCCGGTCTCTTTTACATTATTTATACGGTAAACGGTTTTGTCTATATTTTGCGGTTTAAAAGGCGAACAAACTATAAGATTTTTCTTCCTTAAACTTTAAGTGGGCAATATAAAGCGCTT